TTGGCCAGTAGCAAGATCATTATATAATTCAATAATTTCAATTAAAAGTGGATGTTTACAAGAAAGATTTTTAATAGCTTAAAGGCACGAAAGAAAATCGGAAAAGATTATGTATTGTTTATATTTATGGTGTTTATTAATATATTTGAGAGCTGTTAATATGGCGTTAGCTTCTGCTGTGAAAATAGAGCTGTTATTTGGTAGTCGAGAAGATGTTGGTCTGGATCCAATGACAGTGGCACATGCCACCGCCACCATTTGCGCCACCATCCTTGCCATGTCACATCATGCTTGATGTCACCCATACATCTCACCTTCTTCTCGATGTCACCTCCCATTTCTGGTGTCCCCGCCGTGATATTGCTGATGTCAATCATCATGTCACCTTTATCTCACCTGCCCGATGTCACCTCATAATCTCCTGCCCAATGTCACCTCATAATCTCACCTGTCCATTGTCACCACAAGAAACTAACCAGCTCCATGTCACCACACACATCTCACCTGCTCCGTTTCACCAAAAACACTTTATCAACTCGATGTCACCACAAGCACCTCACCTGTCCAATATCTCTACAAGCACTTCACCTGCTCCATGTCGCTACCAGCAGTTCAATACTCGATCCGCGCTGTCAAGATAAGTATTGACACAATCGCAGTCAGCACACAGGGTTCGGTTAAATATGTAGGTAATTGCAAATATAACTGGTATCTAGCCGATAACAACGTCTGGAAAACAAATTTGTTTCATAAGAAAAGCTTTTCTGGATATGTGCTTACCGTATGTTACATCGTATGTCTTGCCCAACCTAGCGATGAACCTGCAACTATCCATCAGTGTCCAGCATATTGATAAAACAGAGTGGTTTGTGGTATAAAAGCAAGAACTTAACACTTGGAAATGTCTTCCTGGAACCCACAAGGCCGAGAAAACTGTCATTTTGTGTGATATGTGCCCCGGAGGAGAATGTTTTTAGACTGGATCGTTGCATCTAAATTAATCATTTAACTTAAAAAGTGGTCGCGAATGTGAGTGATAGAGCTGAAACATGGAAAATAAACATTAGTTTCAGATGTTTATGTATCAGAGAAGCAAGCTCATTTACATCACAGAAGTCGCTGTATCATACGCAATCTTACTTCTCATTGGTCATTGTAACCATGACACCGATCAGGTTACCCAGCTGGCAAAAGGATTTCAGGCAGAAAAGCAATAACTCCTATGGTAAGAAAAGAGTGGTGACTAAACTATACTAAACAGCAAAAGAAACGTCAGTTTGGAATTTTCCTTCGCAGAAACGGATTACTGTAAACTCAATTAATGTTTTGATTGTATATTTTTGACAACATCTCCAGCTTTACCTGAGCAAAGACATTCCTTCCCAAACTCAGAATGGAACCCAGGAAATGGTCTAAAAAACGCAACCTGATCTCGGAGATGGTACGGTGTTCTCCATGATTTTCATGCAACTCATGCTGCACGTGCTGTTCACAAGGACCAGCCCTATAAAATGCACCCCCAGACCTGGTTGAAACATTCACATTACAACGTCAGCAGGATGCCGCGACTCACGACAGCTAAGAGGAACCAGGCGCTAGGAAAACTTGAAGCTGGCTACACTGCACAAGCCGTTGCCAATCCCTTCGAGGTCAACGTTCGGACCATCTACAGGCTGCAGCAACGTTTCCGGGCCACCAACACCACAAATGATCGCCCCCGTACTGGCAGACCAAGGGTGACCACAAGACGACAAGACCGCCATGTTGTGCGACAGCATGTACAGAATCCCTTCATGCAGGCATCCGACCGAAACAGCACGCCAGACAGTGGGAACACACGGAAGACCAATCAGTACCGATACAGTACGCCGACGTCTTAACAGCAGGAACCTCCATTGCCGTAGACCTTACCGTGGACCTGTCCTCACCCCTCGTCATCGGCGTGAACGTCTACAGTTTGCCCTACAACACCAAAACTGGCGATACAGGCAGTGGAGAACTGTTCTGTTCACAGATGAGAGTCGGTAACTGCGTATCAACTGCAGATGGCAGAACAAAAATATGGCGACGACGTGGCCAGCGTTACTCAGACCAATGTGTTATGGAAAGAGACTCATGGGGAGGTGCAAGCATCATGGTATGGGGTGGGATAGGCCTGAACCAGAGAGTGGGTCCTGTGGTGTTCCAGAACCTTGGTCCAGGGAGAGGAGGCGGCATCACAGCGGTGCGCTACATCGACCAAGCTCCCAGACCCCACGTCATACCACATTTCGCACGTCACCGGAACAACATTTTCAAGCATGATAACTGCCAGAGCTACACGGGACTTCCTACAGCAGAACGGTGTCAGCATTATGCAGTGGCCAGCCCTTAGTCCTGATTTAAACCCAGTTGAACATCTTTGGGATGAAATTCAGAGGTGACTGAATAATGTCATACCAAGGCCGATTTAAATGCGCCAGGCCTTTCTCAGAGTGTGGTCCAAGGGGTGCCAATGACCTCTCTCTCTCTCTCTCTCTCTCTCTCTCTCTCTCTCTCTCTCTCTCTCTCTCTCTCTCTCTCTCTCTCTCTCTCTCTCTCTCTCTCTCTCTCTCTCTCTCTCTCTCTCTCTCTCTCTCAAATCTCTCTCAGGCTCTCTCTCTCTCTGCTCTCTCTCTCTCTCTCTCTCTGTGATAAAAGTCAAAATAAGGGAATTACTTTCTTTTGGTCTCTCAAAATTAAAAGTCCCCACATGTCTTCCATAAAACTCTTAAGTTTGATAGAAGAACATCTGACCAAGATATCTTCATGAAAACAGAATGCTTGGTAGTACCTCAAAACTTCTGAAATATAAACACGGAAGGAGCTGATGGAATATTGCTCGACATAAAGAGAAAGATGACAACTGTAAATTCGAGGTTATCCCTCTTGCCACACAGGCTTGTCCTGACCCAACACGCTGAGTAACGCGTGATATGTTACCCCGACCTAGGTTGTTTGTGTTCAAGATTGAGACACATCATTTATCAAAAGGCGGTGCATCGTGAGTCAACTGTTCAAGAAGTGATAGTTTTTTATGCTGATAGAAACTACAACTCCCAAGATAAACATGATAAAATCAATTTCTTTCTAATGTATCTTTGTTTCTGTATTAAACAAGCAGCTACAGTTGTACATGTATCTCTGTGTCCAACTCTCACCCATCTCTGTCGCTTGACTCGGAGGAGGTGTCTTATTGAGGGGGAGTAGCGACTGGAGGATTAAAGTGCAATGAATGATTTATTGAGACGTCTCCTGGTGTGAAAGGAGCTTTGTTTTCCAGACAATCTACAAGCTCCAGTTCATGGAGTTAATGAGTCAGTCATTCTCAAGTCATTCTTCAAGAAAATGCACATAAAGCAGCTTCTATCATTTTCATGCCTTTACATGTCTTTTTCAATATGACCTCACGACCATTGTTATAACCATTGTAATAGTTTGGAATCAAATGTCGCCCAATATTGGTTGTGTCAAAAAATGACTCAAATACTCTCACCTGTCGTACACCTGTCCTGTTGGATGTAGTCCCCATCACCTCACCTCCTTCATGTCACTTCACCTCATTTGCTCCATGTCACACCAGGCACCTACCTGCCACGTGTTACCCAATATACCCCATGGGCTACATGTCACACCAGGCACCTACCTGCCACATATACCCCATGGGCTACATGTCACACCAGGCACCTACCTGCCACGTGTTACCCAATATACCCCATGGGCTACATGTCACACCAGGCACCTATCTGCCACATGTTACCCAATATACCCCATGGGCTACATGTCACACCAGGCACCTATCTGCCACGTGTTACCCAATATACCCCATGGGCTACATGTCACACCAGGCACCTATCTGCCACGTGTTACCCAATATACCCCATGGGCTACATGTCACACCAGGCACCTATGTCACACCATGGCACCTACCTCCTGCCACGTGTTACCCAATATACCCCATGGGCTACATGTCACACCAGGCACCTACCTGCCACGTGTTACCCAATATACCCCATGGGCTACATGTCACACCAGGCACCTACCTGCCACGTGTTACCCAATATACCCCATGGGCTACATGTCACACCAGGCACCTACCTGCCACGTGTTACCCAATATACCCCATGGGCTACATGTCACACCAGGCACCTACCTGCCACATGTTACCCAATATACCCCATGGGCTACATGTCACACCAGGCACCTACCTGCCACGTGTTAACCAATATACCCCATGGGCTACATGTCACGCCCATCACATTACCTGTTCCATTTCACGGCACACACCAGATCTGCTTGATTCACGCCAATCACCTCACCTGCATGAAGTCACGACACACATCTCACCTGCCTGATGTCACGACACACACCTTACCTGCTTGATGTCACGACACACACCTTACCTGCTCGATGTCACGACAAATACCAGATCTGCTTGATGTCACGATACACACCTCACCTGCTTGATATCACGACAAATACCAGATCTGCTTGATGTCACGACACACACCTCACCTGCTTGATGTCACGACACACACCTTACCTGCTTGATGTCACGACACACACCTCACCTGCTTGATTTCACGACACACACCTCACCTGCTTGATGTCACGACGCACACACCTCACCTGCTCGATGTCACGACACACACCTCACCTGCTAGATGTCACGACACACACCTCACCTGCTTGATGTCGACGACGACACACACACCTGCTTGATGTCACGACACACACACTGTCACGACACACACCTCACCTGCTCGATGTCACGACACACACCTCACCTGCAAGCATAATTCGTGGTTCTGATTTATATTTAATGACCCGCGATGAAGCCTTGTTGACTATGTGCATATGCACTGGCCATGAAATATATAGTTAAAATACCAAAGTCATTATTCTCTTCTTGAGGTTTCCTGTGCAATTGGAACGCGACTGTTGTGCATTCACATGATGATGATGATGATGATGTGTTACAGATACGTGAGCTGACGCCGTCATCTGGGATGAGCCAGCCTCCCCGCCTCTCCAAGCTCCGTCCGCCACCACATACAGATGTTTACTCTGATGAAGACAGTTGAAGTCCTCTTCATGCTCACCGTTATTGCCTTGGACATCACGACAGCAAGACGGGTAGGTCATCGTTATTGCCTTTGACATCACGACAAAAAGACGGGTAGGTCATAGTTATTGCCTTTGACATCTCGACAGCAAGACGGGTAGGTCATAGTTATTGCCTTGGACATCACGACAGCAAGACGGGTAGGCCATAGTTATTGCCTTGGACATCACGACAACAAGACAGGTAGGTCATAGTTATTGCCTTGGACATCACAACAACATGACTTGTAGGCCATAGTTATTGTCTTGGACATCACGACAACATGACTTGTAGGCCATAGTTATTGTCTTGGACATCACGACAACACGACGTGTAGGCCATAGTTATTGTCTTGGACATCACGACAACAAGACGTGTAGGCCATAGTTATTGTCTTGGACATCACGACAACAAGACGTGTAGGCCATAGTTATTGTCTTGGACATCACGACAACAAGACGTGTAGGTCATAGTTATTGCCTTGGACATCACGACAACAAGACGTGTAGGCCATAGTTATTGTCTTGGACATCACGACAACAAGACGTGTAGGCCATAGTTATTGTCTTGGACATCACGACAACAAGACGTGTAGGCCATAGTTATTGTCTTGGACATCACGACAACAAGACGTGTAGGTCATAGTTATTGCCTTGGACATCACTACAATAAGACAGGTAGGTCAGTGGTATTGCTTAGTTTATCCTTGCTGAATCCAAGATAAAACTAATTACATTTACCGTAGTTATGAAACAACGATTATCAAGATTTCGTCCTGGTAATACGTAATCATTTAAAACTATGATCGCTATTTAATGTTTACACTAAAGAAATAACGAATGAACTATATACCATCTCAAATGTGAAGACATAAAGTGATCCGTTGAGATATTCCAGTGAAAGCCCACATCCGGCATTGAAGGATGACTCACTATGAAAATATGTCATAACCACCCGACAGTTGTATAGTTACCGTGTCTGGGACAACACCATGATACAGACAGCAATCTGAGTAATACTAATTGATTAAATGTGTTTGACCTTAGCAGCAACACGCTGAACATCACAATTTGTACACTGCCGTCTGGCAATGTTTCGTGAGTCTGCAGTAAGACTTATAACGTTAGGACGCAGTCGTTGTGTGTAAACTATATCCCTACAACTAGCTTTAAGTAAGCCCTGGTATTCAGGCATTGTGTTAATTGTAGAATAGTTAACAATAGCAAATGTTTTTGAACATGTCTCCGTCTAATATTGGCGTTTATTCTTCCTCTTTGATAACCATATGACTTTGTAACAACTATCAGCTTTGTTGTGTTGTTAGGGAAATACCCCACTGCAACTGCCCAACATTTCGATGTGGACTATAGGTGGACAATGGTATTGATTAGTTTCCAACTGATGACTGCAATCTTTTATTGGCATTTGAACATTTGTAGAACAGGAAAACATCATTCTCTTCCCACAGAGGTTACTTTCCAATTACTTTCCAATTAACCTCTGTGGGAAGAGAATGGAAAACATGGGTGAGTGAGTGTATTTTTACGACGCTTTTAGCAATATTGCAGCAATATCAAGGCGGGGGACACCGGAAAGGGTTTCACACCTTGTATAGAGGTGAGAAATCGAATCCGTGTCTTCGGCGTGACGAGCGAACGCTTTAACCACTTAGCTACCCTACCGCCCCAGGAAAACATACAACTTATAGGTGACAAGTACGTTCAGGTTAGATATAAGTATACCAGTGAGTATGTGTCAACAGGGTTAACGTGGCTTTGAGCCGTATTGGATATATATCACGGTGTGTCAGTTTGATACACGAGGAGAAGCATCTGGAATTCAAATCCGAAATGAATCAGAAAGAAGTTATTTTCTGTCATCCGATATGTTAAATGAACCTAGGTATATAATGTGCTCTGAAGCATACTTAAAAACTCTAGGAAACCCGTAGACATCTTTGTCAATCACCGGACACAAGACTGAAGCATAGGAACAAAACTGCCCTGTCTATAAGCCACGTGACTTTGAAACATACTGTCAAAACGTTAACTCTAGGAAACCCGTACCTAAAAGTGTAATTGGATGTTAAGACAAAAAGCGAATACGTTATTACTGAAACAATCACCGTCGCGCTGTTTGTTACTAAGGTGGGAATGGCCTAAGGTGCTTGGTGAAGGTCTTGGCTTGCTCTGCCCTACCGGCTTCTCTAGCTACTCTGATATTCCGAGCAGGAACAAAACTGCCCTTCCGCTGTAAGGAGCGAAGCTATAAGCCACGTGACTTTGACAGCTTGTCACCTGCCTCCGGTACTATTTGTACATTTCACTGACTAACAACGGGGGTTGTAGAATGATAATATGTTTGACCTCAGTTGATTGTCTCCAGGGATATGTTTGGTGCCGGATTTGATTAAGCCTCCCAATGTCATGAGACGTATATATCTCCACCTCTACCTTATAGTTACTGAGTTTAGTACATTCCCTCGGTAAAATAAGTGTTCCAACGCCATTTTATGACTGGGTTATTGCTTAAAGCGTCGTACAAACCACTTTACTAACTCATATTGTGAAGAGCTTAACATAACTGTTAACGTTCAAAGAGCCCAAGTTTATAATTCTGACACGTACGTTTTGTGTACTGTATGACACGTTATTATCCTTGCCATTTGTAATCGCCTTCATAATCATTTTCTCGAAAACAGCTGTCCTTAGTATGGTGATTTTACTTCAGTTGCCTGCGATGTACAGCCGGTTTTTATACTGTATTGTTCTGTTTGGAAATCCACTTTTAGAGTTAGATGCTAGCTCTAATTTATTTTGGTTCTGTGATATGCTAGTTGTTTTTACTGTCCTCTGTCGACAGGTTTTTATAATTTGAATGTATTTACCATGTGTTTAGAGCTCTTGTGGCTTAATCACGATGTGGCTGAAATACTGCCGATGACTTTGAATTATAACTCACTCACACTTTACCACAGAGCCCAAAATAGCAATATTTTGTATACCATATGTACTGATAAGGCAGTTGACGACCTTGGGTTTTTTTCAGTTCTACATTCCCAACAACCTATACATTTCGTGACTAAATAGATTGGTTGTGAATTTAAGCACACACAGTACGTTTTCAGGAATGACTACTTTCGGCAATGTTTTCACGGAGTGGCAAGTAATAGATTGGAGCATGGAGGCCTTGTATTTTGATTTGATTCTCATAAATATAAATGGCAACAGAGCGAGGTGTTCAGTCAAAAACATGTCTATGTTTCCCAAATCAACAATCAGTCAATTGTTTAAGTGTATACATGACATCACGGTCTATAATATACCACTCAAACTAATTAAAGGACACTTCCATATTAGAAGTGAGTGAGTTTAGTTTTACACCGCACTCAGCAATATTCAAGCCATATGGCGGCGGTCTGTAAATAATCGAGTCTGGACCAGACAGTCCAGTGATCAACATCATGAGCATCGATCTACGCAATTGGGATATGATGACATGTGTTAAGCAAGAACTTCGTTTTCGTTTGATATTTAACTCGGACACATGATAAATCTCCATATCAACCTCGCGAACACATGGTAACTTGTATTATCACACATTCCATCACTGACGCATGTTCTGGAACAGTTCAAATCCAGAAAGTAATGAAGACACTAAATACCAATCTTGTCAACATGTCCGATGACAATTTAGAACATATTTTCTGTTGAGCGCCTCCTTCTAAAGCGCGGGCTCCATGTTTCTCCTGTTTCTTCAAATTGTCTGTCAACTTTAAACCATCGAATGACAGTATTCAGGCTATATTTTATCTTAATGGGATGTTCCTGGTATACCAGACTTTAGAACTGCATACTGTTCAAGACAAATGATGACTTACAAACCTTTCTTTGCACAGCGATGTCACTGAGTAGTGGAAAAATTGTGCTAGAAAGACAGCATGGCTACCTCCGGAAACCTAGTGTGTTAAGTGCAGACAGGCTAATCGTATTCTAGTGTAGTGCGATGTGTTTGGTCAGTTGTAGAAAGGTGTTTTTTACTGGATATCAGTTAACGATCCATATAATTTCCACCGCTATTTTGCACTACGTCCAATGGAATGGAAACTATTTTCGTGGTTGATTGAAACTGATTATTCTCGTCATATAGGTTGTTATAGTGACAGTTATTGACGTGTCGTTAGTGGAAGGAAGATGCCGACTTAGGATAGCACAAGCACCGGATGCCATTGATTAGTTTCCAATTTTTGGTACCCGGTTTGGTCCAATCATGCACTCATGTCACACTCGAGAAGTCATCCATCAACGGCCGCCGGAAGAGAGGTCCAAAATAGAACGGGTGGTCACGAATGCGCCCAGAGAGTCAGTGGCGTCTAATTCTTACGACACCAAAATAACATATTCTAATTGGAAATGCCATTTACAGGTAGACCTGTTTGTCACGCACATCCTGTATGTACTTTTGGACATTTTTTTACTAATATACTCTCCAAAAAAATAGGAGATATTAGAAAAGAGCAGACAAGAAAGAATACATGGAGGTACCGAGGGATAGTAACTGATGGAGAAGGAGAGGATCCATGAAAGACAAAAGAACTTGCTATCGTGAGAATGTAAACAAACCACACAGAAAAAACCGATAGGGATGTGTCCGCAAAAAATGAAGATGAGATTACTTGATTAATAACGGGTCAGGTCGACTGGTCGAACATTCGTTATACTGCGTTGTACGGTCTAATGCAATCTCCTGATGACAATTTGAGACAGTCTCGCCCACGTCTTTCTCAGTTTCTGGCCCAGTTGTGGCTCCATGTCTCTGTCATGTCCCAGACGGGCTATGTTGTGGAAAGAACAGTACTGGTTGGTGGTCATTGCATTCCCGTGATGTGCTTCTGGAGGGAGTCAGCAGCGTGCACAATGCATAATATTTGGAGCGAATGTGTTGTCTTGTCAGTACTGCCCAATGACCCTGCCATGTGGTGTAGTGGGTTCCTGACAGTCAGAGTTATTCCGCCTCCAGCCATTACAGACCC